GGGGGGGGGGGAGAAAAGGAGATGAAGAAATAGGAAACAGAGGAAAAAGAGATGAACTAATGAGAAAAGAAATAGCAAAAAGAAAAAAGAAATGTGAAGATGAACATTAAATCATTTATAAATGTCACATATGCGTAATTACAATTTTGAATTTAAAAAAATGTTTGATGTTAATTTTTTATGTTTTCAATCATATTTGATAAATGGTTTGTCGAAAAGCTTTTTTTTCATTTTGTTCTTTTTGAAATTAAATTTTTATGTTTCAGAAACAGTTTCCGACAACAAAAGTTTGTTGTAAGAAAACTGTAAAAAAAAAAAATTGACTTAAGACAGCAGTTATACATCGGTTTTATACTATTAGCTTCTGACTCAAAAAACTATTAAAAAACTGCTTCTCCTTTTCCTCCTCCCATTCTGTCCTCCTCTCCTCTCCACTTTGTCTTCAATTTTCCAACTGTGCCATTCAACCAAAGTGTTCAAAAAGATGAATCGCTTATCAATTCAGTTGATTGCGCATTTATTTTAATAGAAAAAAAAAACCAAAAACGAAAAATAGAACAAAAAAAAACATATTTTATTACTTTGTCTAATTATAATTGATTAAGATTGAAGCGTTGCTATTGAAATAATTTACTAACAGTTAAAAAAAAAAGAGAGAAGGCATAGAATTAAGTTATAATTTTTATGTAAAATGGCCCCTTCTTAATGCCGTTAAAAGGTGTGAAAAAGTATAAGCCATAGCTATCTGTTGGCTCAATTTAACAATAGTTGTATTCTAAAACGTCAGAGTATTTTATATTTTTTGTTAAAAAGAATAAAAAATTATTATTTAAAAAGTAAAAAAATAAATTTTTTCTGCTCACTTTTTACGTACTATAATTTTTAATGAAAATTACTTGTTCAAATGCAGAGCAATTTTTTGATTTTTTTTGAAGTTCAGAAAGTATCCATCAGTTTATACGCAAGTGAACATTTTTTTCTTCAGTATCAAGATAGACGCCCAATGACAGATGTTTCCTTGTCGCTGTTTAAAAGTCTATTATGAACAGGCAATCGTTATCTGAAAAAATAACCTGAAGACTGAGGTATATGCAAGATGATGGTCAATAAACCTTGAGCCTGAAAAAATTAGACCGAAAATTGAAAGATAGCTGAAAACAGTTGATAGTGCTGAAAGATGATAAAAATGATAGAATTGTTCAATTAATTATTTGTTACAAAAGCATTTATTTATTGAAAGGTTATAAACAATTTAACAGTATTAAAGTAAGCAAATTTTTTAACAAAAATTATTGTTTTTTGAATTGATACAATAAAGCAGCAAAAACTAGTTTCATTTTTGTTTCACTTTGCTAATTGCATTAACCTAAACGTTTACTTTAGACTAAAAAAAATAATTCAAGTTTTAAAGCTGTTGAATTTTTAAGACTGATTTAGGTGCTTTCAAGACCACAAAACGCTTGACCAAAACTATGCATTTCTTGGTGACTAAATGACAGAAAACGGGAAATGCGTAGCAATAGAGAGTAGCAAATGGAGGGTTAGGAAGGTAAATTGTCAAACAAGATTGCAATAAACATCAAATAATCATCAGATAGCTGTAACAAAAATGTTTTACATGTTTTTTCTAGACGCATCAATAGACTACAATATTGACATGTTGCTTAGTTAAAAGTGCATAATATTACCTATGCTATTATTGTATACTGCTGTCGTATTATCAGCAAAACTATAAGGTTTCTTCTTTAAACATTTACTTGGATCACCCTATCAAAATTATGTTGTTATAAATTATTTTTGGGCAGCTGTATAGCTTAATAAAAATGGCCTCTATAGTATATCATCGTTTGATTATCAGCTGCATTACGTTAATGCAGATTTTAGAATCTGTTTATGCTACAGATGTGCAATGTATGTTCAATCAGGTTTGGCAGTCTTATTGACTTCAAATATCTGTCTTATAAAGTTCTTTATAATTTACTGTTTTCTTTTTGTTTTTTTTTTCTTCTCACAGGATATATAGCTCAATAAGCAATATATTATATAAACAGATAACACAAATATTTAATAAGTGACTAAGCAAAATTCAAATAAGGTTTATTAACATTTGGTTGTTTTATAATAATCGGTTTAAATTTTTGTAGAAAAAAACGATACGAACAATACCTGGTGATATAAATTACCTATCTTCAATTAAATATCCAAATCCGTATTCAATATTTTCAAATCAAAAGTTGGTTTTAGCTTTTTTTTTTTTTTTTTTACAATTATTATCGTTCCACAATTAATTACAGTTTTTTAAAGCGACAGTGAATGAAAGTAAACAGTTGATCAGAGCAGTTAGACCATTGAAGCAAATTTTAGCAAACGACATATGTAGTTTTTACCTTATTTTTATTTATTTTTTTACTCAGATGCCAAGTAAATTTTGTACCGGCAGAAAACTGTGGTATTCTAATGCTTCTGGAGATGTTATTTATCGACAAAAATGACTATTTTACGACAACAACAACTGAAGGCACAAGAACGTAAGCACTATTAAGTATACATAAAGGTTTAGAGTACAGTTTTTTTATAGTATTTTCTCAACTTCTGCATGTGATGACCAGCAATTTATAAATTTATGCTTCTCCAGTTCCAAGAAACTTTAGAGACTTTATTTTTATAAAGTACACAAAGTTTCTTGAACAGTATTCTGCAGAGAGAATCATTTTAGTTTTATCTATTTCCACATAAAACCTTAGTTGTTTTCTTTACTTTTTGATGAATAACAAATATATTTAGTACTAGAAGTATGATTAGAATTTTCAATCTAAAGCTGAGAAAAAAAAGCTTATTGACCAGTAATCATTTGAATGTATCGTACAATTGATGATATTTTATCATTCTGTGTCATAAGAAATTACTTTAAAATAATAGTTCAGTTTTTCGGGTTCAACAGAAGATTTTATTCGATTGGATAAACCGTTTTTCAAATCCGATGGCACTTTACAAGTCATCTTTGGACGCAAAAGTCAATCTAGACAATCGGCGACACATGCTGGATTTCGTGCAGTTCTCAAAACATACAGTTAGCTTGTTTTACTAGATAATTTGGAATTTTTGAAATAGATGTACCAGTAATATGTTAATGTTTATAGATATGACAATGGGAGAACAATGCGGTGGCGAAAAACTGATTAACGACAGTTATTTTATAACATCGCCAAATTACAGTGATGAATACGACAATAACGATCATTGCGATTGGGTCTTTCAGTCTGAGAAACCTTTACGAGTGGTCGTTGTTGATTTTGTTGCCGATGAAAATACCGATAGTTTTCAGATTGTCGATTCAGCTGGTACAACAGTAAACTTGAGGTATAGATATATTTCTACAAATTTCTTAACCACAAAAGTTTTGATATAACACTTTTGTTCTTTTTTCTTTTTTTGATTGCTATTGATCAAATACAAAATATTATTTTGAAAACATATTTTGAACCGTTTACGTTCACTGAATACTTATAGTCATCTAATAATGTCGCTTAACCATGATATTTAAATAGTAAAATCTTGCTTAAATTAGTTTGTTTATTCAAACACCTGCAGACCACCAAACTGAGATCTCAGAAACCTCGTCTTTAATTTCTTCAGTAAACTGCTGGATTATGTGGTAGAAGAGGAATTTTAACTAATTTTTTGCTACTTGACTGCATAAAATTCTCTGTGAAAAATCACCCACTTACTTTCAGAGGTGACCTCTCCTACGATACTCCACTAGCATATTACTTTGGGAGTCGAATAGAAATACATTTTGAAAGTGGTTTTTCAAACAGTACAAATAATGTACGACGATTTTCATTGTTAATCGATCCATACGATGTTCCAAACACCAGTGAGTAACAAATAAGTAAATAAATAAAAGATAATATTTAATAGCAGATAACAAATATTTTTACCTTAATTTTCAAATTCTTTATGTTTTCTTTACACCTTCTCTCTCACTCAGATGATAAAATCTTAATTTTTTAAAATTTTTTAAATTGTTTTTTTTTGTTTATTTAGTAAATATATTTTATTCCAGACGTAACTACGACTTGTTTGAGGACCGGAACTCACGATCTCTCTACAGAAAAGCTAGTTAAAATTGGAACACCAAACTACAAAACTGCAGCGTATCCAGACAATCTAGCTTGCAACTACAGGTCGATATTTTCTGCCTCTTATCTGGCGTATCATTTTAATAAGATTATTAGTATTTGAAAACAATAAATGTATACTACTAGTGTTTTGAATTCAGTATAAAAAACTTCACATCTTTATAAAGAAAGATCTATTTTCTTAATATTTTAAAATACCTTTTACGCAAAATTATACTTTGTACAATTTAGAATAAGAATTATGCTTGTCATCTTGCTCGTGACGTAGTAGTAGAATTGATCAAAACGGGGTTATCAACACGACAAAGGCGGAATAATATGACAAAAACTCGGAGTAGAACTAGAATAGTAACTACTAACGGAACGAAATAAGAGAGCTGTTCTATAGGTCTTTAGCAGACGTAGATCAGATATACCAGCTGAAGGCTTTAGGAGTTAAACTTGTATTACAAGCATATACAGTGATCTTTTAGTATAATATGTAAACTAAGAAAACGTCATAACAAAACTTTGAAATATTGTTGTTAAGTAGCCTGTAATTTTAGTTTTCAAAATCCACCAAAAAACAGTTTCATCTTTGCTTCACTAAGCATGGAGAGTGAAGTGTGCTGTGATGGCCTGATATTGGACGGTATAGGACAAGTAACACTGCAGTTTTATGCTTGCTTTAAATTTCACTTTCTGTTAATATATTTTTCTTTTTCTCTTCTTCTTCTTCTAATTCTGCTGCTGCTTTTCTATTCTACTTTTTGGCGCAGATGATACAGTAGCATAAACTATATTTTATTCATTAGCAGCTAATAAATTTGAAAAAATCTTTAAAAAATATGGTTAATAGCTTCAAACATTTGCTAGTTGTTAGATAAGTAGATCAGAAATCTTATTATTTTGATGTACTGCTCTGCCTGACCTGTAATTGACTAGACCAAATTATGCTATTCGTAGAAAAACATTTAGGGCTGGGAACTTGTTGGTGCAAGAGAAGAGGGTATTTATGTGGCAAAAACTGACAGCCCGGTTACCATGTATTTTCATTCAGATGGTGTTCGACAAGCATCTGGTTTTTCTGGCACAGTCGAAACTCAAGGTATGCGTACCTTTTACACTGTAGTTATGTTGTATTCAAAGACCGTCGCTTAGTCGGCCGTCGTTATTTGAGATTTGCTTACCGCGGCAAGCATTACTCAAATTTGCTCAGATTAATTACTTAGGTTACTTATAATGGTTACTCAGATCCTTAAACAAGTAAAGCAAAACAAATTAAAAAATTTTATTTATTTATTTTTCTTACAACGTATTTCTTTTAAAAGACTTTAATTAATAAATTTTGACAAAAAAAAATCTAGTTAGCTTATTAATTAAAAATAACAGCATTACTTTTTGGTAATTTATAGTGCAACTAAGGCTTTCATTTCAATTACAAATTTTTTTTTATATTAATGAAAAATAACTAAAAACTAGTAATTTTTAGATTGTAACTGTAATGATCAGGTTGTAAATATTATTGCCGGAACCACTTACCGAGTAACATCGCCAGGGTATAATGCTTCCAGGAATGTAGTATATTGTTCGAATTTGTATTGCAACTGGCAATATAATTTTTTCCTCAACCATACTTTGGAGATCCAGTTAAAGTTTCTGAAGTTTCGGGTCCGTCAAGGTGATCAACTTGTGCTAACCGACTACAAAGATGACGTTTTGGCAACGTTAGCTCTTCACTCTGTACTGGTGCATGACATTGTAATCGCAGATGGCTTATGTTTCCTAATGTTCCTTACCGTTTAGCGTTTCATAACATGGCTTTTATGTCGTGGATAACAAAGCTTAACTTATCTTTTAATGTTTTTCCTATTTTAGTTTGACTACAGATTCAAATACCAATGAAACAAAACCGTTGCTAACGGTAGTTGGCGGTCTTATTAACATAACCTTCATTACCACTAACTCTACCGTGGGATACTACAAGACTGCAGAGATAGCAAAAGGCTTCGAGCTGCTGTTGGAAGCAAAACCCAGTCAGTTTTGAATCAAAATTAGAGTACCTCAAGTAACTTAACCTTTACATTCTCCTTATTCCTTAATGATTTCGCAAAAAAGAATTCCGTTTAACATAGTACCTTCTCTAAGAAGGTAACAAAAAGCAGAAAAATCTCATAATAAGATACAGAGCGGGAAAACTTTTATAAATCAAATTCTTCTTGTTTTTATTTTGTTTTCGTCTCTTCTTTCTCGGCTGTTTAATTTTGAAAAAATATTTATAGTCAAGCTTTTCAAATCGTTCTTTTCAAACTCTGACGTAACTTTCACTCCAGCATTAAGCATTAATATGTATTTTCAAACTGTCTGACACAAAAGGCACTCATGTGTTAGTAAAATAGATAAAAATTTCCAATTTTTTTCTAGTACGTTACAAATACGAAGAGCATTATACACTAAGCGAAGCTAACCCGATACAGCAGTTTTCATTTGATACTGATCCTGGCGATATGCTGTTCTTTAGCATTAAGTCTACACAGAATCAGCAAGTGACACTTTTCGCGTACAATTTACCAAAACACAGCGAATTTACTTTGGAAATTTTTGACGGTCCGGATATTAGAGCACCATTATTGGCCACCAAGTAGGTCAATTCTTACCAGCGAAGTTTTTAAATGTAATTGAAAAACCTAAGAGCTTTTTTCGTCACTAAAAATTACTATAATTTTAAGACAACCGTCATTATCCATTTTGCAGCAATTTCACAACTAACAACGAAAGTGCTAATTTTGTTAGCAGCATAAGGAGCAGCGGAAATACTTTGGCATTCCGATTTTTGAATCCTACCAGTCAACGCCACCGTGTTTTTGCTGGTTTAGTAACCAATCTACTCGACGATATGTACGGTAAGAACTCAAAAGTGTATAATACGTACTGTCTGATAAAAACGGTCGCGTAAAAAAATAGAATGGCAATATAAAAACTAATTTGCATTCTAAATGGGATAACTATTGCAGTTTAGATTATTACCGGGACAGTGGTTTGAATTAACTAAGTATAGTCTTCCTATAACTGTCATAATAACCATTGTATGTGACACTGCAGATGAGTACTGCGTCAATCCGTTTTTGCTGCAGTTTGACGAAATTCTTGAATACGAAGTGACAGCTCCATGGAACGTTACGGATGCAACACTCTACCATTGTCATATGGTACTGCACTACGTAGAAGACGATGGTAGCATTCGGAATGGAATGCTGTTAAAAATTCATAACTGGACTGAATCATCTTTCCCGGTTTACAAGGGAGCCACAATTATTGACAAGTTCTTAGTTACAGAGTAAGTCCACAAGCTGATTCCTTATTCTGACAATGTGTTATAATTCTAACAATATTTAGAAAAAGCGTAGAATAAATGTGCCGCTTTCCATACAGTACGGCTTGAAAAAAATAAAAAGAAACAAAGTTTTCAAAACTACCTTGTCGAAAACTGAGAAGAGCTTGAAAACAAAAGAAGAGGAAAAAATCTGCTGTCTTTTTATAAACGAAAACTGACAGATAAAATTAACAGTTGTTCAGATATATACACCTATCATGACGACAAGTTTAGGCAACTTCCAGCCCCATCATTCCTATTCGGCAACTATTTGACGTTCACCTACAACTACTCTTCACCTCCATTCCAAATTTACGCAAAAAAAACTAAACTTCGTTAGTTTCTTCTTCTTGATCTTTGCCAACTTATTCAACTGAAGTTCCATTCGTTTAAAGTCTGCTCGGTGAACAAAAGTTTTATTGGTGCCTATATGCAATTCAAGTGTCCACTACTCGCGTGATTTGCGATAACGTTAATTTTTTCAGAAGACAATCAGTTACATGTGCTTCTTGGAAATACTTCTTTAGGTTACCTTTTCTCTCCAGACTTCCTAGCAACTGATGATTATGGGTATCCTATTTTCGTGTATTGTGAAGCTAATGATGGCACTCTTAAAACTGAAAGAAATTAAGAAAGTTTTAGCAGTTTTAAAGAATGATTACAAGCCCTACTAAAAGTCAACAAGTGAGAAAGTTAGCAAACAAACGTTACCTCTCATCTTTTATAAATCAAGCACAACTTTTTTACTGGGGGTTAACAAAAACCAAAAATTTAAAAAACTCTTTTAAAATATAAACCTCACAAGATTTTTTAGCAATTAAAAACAAATGTAAAAATTTTAGAAGACTTGGCATGCAAATTTTGAAAGACAATACATCTTTTTATTCAATCAAACTTGTGTATTAAAGCAATACGTGAACATTCTCAATACTAAGACTGTATAAAGAATATTTATAGATAAGTGATCTGTAATATACACCAACAGCTTAAAAGCGAAAGTAGACCAGTAATAAACAAATCGTTTTTAAACTCTTGTTTGAATAAAATCCAGTTAACTGTTTAGTTACTGTTTATAGACATCTGTATCAACGATATTTGCTTCAAGTTTACGACGAACCCTTACATGGTACAATGCTAAAAACACTGAAACAGATCAGTGGATGTCAAGTGACAGTTGAAAGCAGTATGAATGGACACCATTATGTCAAATCTGAGTGAGGAATCGTTTAAAAATTTTAGAAAACAAAAAGTTTTGAAAGAAGCAACAGTAGTTGGTAATATTGCATAATTATGTACATTGACGAAAATAAACAAACGACGAGCACGCAATTTCCAGGATCTTGAGCGGTGATATTCTTGATGTGCGCTGCGCCACAGAAATAGCAATAACATATCGAACCAATGGCGGAATAAATAAAGGTCTATTTCTTCAGTATGAAACAGGTAATCTATAATCTTCTTAATCAGCCTTTGGTAAAACGTGCTTAGCAATAGCATTTTTAGACTAAAATAAGTTGGTATAATTTAAT